ATTGTGAAATTACTATTTTGAGACACAGAATCTGCTGGCTTTATTTCAGGGCAAAGAAGGACAAGAAAAGGAGAGAAGCATTCAGCTTGGAAGCAGACGAGTAAAGAACTGTCTGCTTGCTAATGCAGTGCAGAATTCACAGCTGAGCTTTCCTTTAGGCTCCAAGGGGTGTGACTAATTAAGGAAAAGAATTCTAGTCCTTATTTCCCTTTTAGGAAACAATCCAAAGCCTGTAACATGACATCATTTTACAGTAAAGTCTTTTTCTCCAGGGTGAGGTATGCACTAAGAGATGACATGTGTTTTGAACTTCCAATGCTCAGTTTCTCATGGTAAACTTGGAAAACAAACTGTTTTCAGCAGAGGGCATTGCGAACTTGCAGATTTGATAACGTCTGTGAAAGATATCTGCTGAGAATCACACGGAGAAAATCAGATTGCAACATTTCCTTGCTCTCTTTCTCCTTCCCAATGTTGTAACATTTTGGATCATTTGAATTGTATATGGATTTCTATTTAAATCAGTCATTTGCTGGCAGCAAAACTAGAACATTTCCTGTTTTTCCTCTCACTGTAATCAGGATTTGGCTGTCCAAATTAGGACTGCCCTAATTACTCCTCAGCAGGTGCCAATCTGGGGGAGCGCAATAAATGGCAAGAGAGGAAGTAAGGACAGTTCACATCCTTAGACTCACACAACAAGAAAATGCATTCTCTCAGACATGAAAAATCTGATATAGTAAATGGGCAACAAGTCCCATGGGGTCATGTGTTGTGTGTGAGTGGTGCACTCTGTGATTGTTGCTGTGTAACACACATAGAGATGACTTTCTATTCACTCCTTTAATAGGCTTCACAGACTTACTTTCTCACCCTAAGAAAAATTCAACATAGGTCTGTAATACAGCAGCCAAGGCAACTTGCTCCTAGAAGTTCTCCTGTATGTGGGATAATCTGAGAGTGGGTACAAGAAAGTGGACAACACTCCAGAGTTTGTCCAGGAGAAATGAATGTCAAAGGGTAGACATAGACATAGACTTCCTGTTCTGACAAATTTGTACAACATAAATGACAGAGAAATAGATAAATTCCAATTTGCAGGATAGACCACAGTAAACAAAATAATCCTGCTCATGCCTAAAATCAATCATTCCACTTGTGCATTAGATGCCACCCGTACCTAGCTGGCCCCAAACACAACTTCAGTGATTCACCCCTTTTTGCCCTATGCTAATTTCTCTCTCTTCCATATGTTTTCCTTCAAAAACAGATATGCACTAACTTCTCCCATTTAAAAGAATACACCAAACAACAAAAAAACCCTTCATGTAACTTCAGGCCTCCAGGCATTACCTCATGTTTCTGTTTTCCTTTGCAGTTAAACTCATGGTCAAAGTTTTTCCTATAATGACAATTTTCTATTTCTAATTTCTTTTTTTAAGTCTAACTCCTCTGGTGGTCATCCCTACCACTCCATAGAAAGAAGTCACCAGTGACCACCACAGTACTGAATTTATCACTTAATTCATCACCTTTCTCCCTCTCTTATTTGGTTTCCAGGACACCATGTTTTCTTGATTTGTACCCTACTTCAGCAGTTGTTGCTTTTCAGCATCTTTTACTGGTTTCTCTTCATATTGGAAATGTCATAAAAATCCACAGTCCTCTTCTGTGCCATGTGTATACTTAACCTCAGAAAGACTGCATGGTTTTAAATGTCATTTACATATACTACATTATATGTTGACAACTGGTAAATATCTATTTCCAGGCTGGAGCTTTCTCATTTTGATGTATATATCCAACTGTCTATTTTAGTACTCTATCTCTGTGTGGATGTGTCACAGACACTCCCATTTTATTTTATTTTTTAAGTTTTTATTTCTTTGTGCAGGGTCTCACAATGAAGCTCGGACTTGCACTTGTAGTGATCCTCCTGATTTCTGCTTCCCTCGTCCTGGGATTACAGGCCTGTTGTACCAGGCCCGGACTCCATCCCAGGTTCAGTGCACCTGTGAGTGGGGATGGCAAAGCATGTGGTGCCAGGGATTGAACTTATATAAGCAAGTGTTTAGTCCCCTGAGGTATACCGCTGGCCCTGACACTCCGAATTTAAATGCTACTTTATTTGCCCCCAAACCTGCATTGTCCTCCATATTAATAGCTGGCAATGGAGCAAATAAAAAGCCCAAAGAGTCATTTTGGATCCGCTTTCTCCCCTCCTCTCACACTCCCTATCTAAAATCTGGCAGAGAATCCTGTTGGCTATCACTTTAAAACACATTCAGCACTCTCCCATTTGTCATCATCTCTACAACTATGCAGTGTGAGCTGGGCTCATTTCTCACCTGGACTAACACAACAGCCCTTAATTGGTTTCTCTGCTTCCACCTCTATTGCCCTACTAGCCGACCTTCCACACATTTTCATTTTAAAGGGTAAGAGAGCTCAAGCTGCTCCTAGGCACAACTGCTGCAGTGTCACCCTATCTCACGCAGTAGAACTCAACATCTATACTACGGTTCAGCTTTCTATTTTCTCAAGGCCAACCCCCAAAACTCACTTTACTCCAAACATGCTGGTAGTCCTGCAGAGTGCAAGTTAATGGTCACAGCCCTCTGTTGGGTAATCTTTCCAGATATATTGTCTAACTCTCAATTTCTTCCAGTCTTTCCTCAAATCTCAATTCCAGAGCCTTCTTGGTGAGCCCTAATTTAAACTATATCCTCCTTCTGCAATATTCCTGAGGTATTTACCTTCAGTTTTTTCTTCTATAGTACTTACATAACTGTTTTGCCCTATATTTTTACCTCTCCTATCCCATCCTCAATAGATTGTAAACCCCAAGAAAGTAGGTATTTGTTTCAATGCTTTATCTGCAAACTCACTCTATATAGAACAGAACGCTAGAAATCATAGAAATGAATTCTTTTAAGGGTGGAGTGGTTAACAGTTTCAATAGATATTGAGATCAAAGAATAGTATAATAGATTTAATAAATTTAGAAAATTTGTCTTAGGATGCTGAAATAAGGTGTGGAATCATAAAAACACTACTAATAATCACGGAGATCTCCTAACAGAAGGAAAAATGCCAAGACAATACCTTGAGTTTCATAAAAGGAAGGAAAATTAGAGAAAAAGGTAAATTTAGAATAATGGGCAAAATTCTGAGCTGAGTATTACTAATAGCTTGTGAACTGTTAAGAAGTGGTATTCACCAGGAACTAGGAAAATTTCACAAAGAACAAGTCACATGATTTTGTTCTTTTCTTAATGGACTTGGGAGTTGTCTTAACTCCCAAGGTTAATTTGAAAACTTCCCCAAATGAGAATCCTTATGGAATGGTTCGGCAAAGCAGAGAGCATTAGGCCCTAAAAAGAAAGGAAAGTGAGGATTCCTGAAGTAATTCTAGAGTACTATCCATAGCTGGCTTGTAGGGTTCTGTCTTGGAGACATCTGAGGAGGAGGGATTGTCTTCATTAGAAGGATAAGGAAGAAATCTGATAAAGGCCCTTATAAGACAAATAATAAAAATAGGGGCCTTAAGTTCTAGGGCCTGCTCTTGAGATACAGGCTAAGTTCCTAGAAAACATATGAATTCCTGAAGCAGGGTGTAATATATAGATGTAACGGTGGATAAACAGCACTCACTATTGCAGTGAAGTAGATTAGGCAGCAAACTACACTGTATTGTTCTGTTGGGTTAATATTTTCTAAAGATTGTTTCCTGGCCCACTTTTAATGACTCATTAAACACTATTCAATGTCTAAATTTCCAAGTTTTATTTTTTAAGATCCTTTGGTGGTTCATCTTACTCTGCCTACTCAACATTATCTTCTACTACCTTCTACTAAGAATCTTGATCCACTTAGGGCCAGCCAGATAGCTCAGTGGACTAAAACCGGGTTTGATCCCCTGCATGCCATTGTAGCCCTGCCCCCAGGGCATGAAGAGACAGCGACTGAGACTGGGCATGGTGACTTGCACCTGTAATCCCAGTTCTTGGGAGGCTGAAAACAGGAGGATCACTAAGAGTCCAATCTGTGTAGTGAGACCCTGTACTAAATACAAAAAAAAAAAAAAAAAAAAAAAAAAAAAAAAAAAAAAGAAAGAACTTTCTTTTCTTTATCCCCTCCAAATACTTGATAGCTCCCTTAATGCTTGCTGTCCTCCCTGCAGCACCTAGATTTCTCTCCACAGATGTCATCTGTCCAGCATATATCTTCTATAAAATCATTTCTAGCTGCAGCTCCCCTTTCTTTGTCTTTTTCATGTCTTCTTATTTTTGCCATTACTAGCTTGTACAATACAGGTAGTATCTAATTATGTACTGCACTGTACCTTTCTAATCTTAATTACATATCACATATAATTTAGCATTTTATTATACATTCTTTTATTTTGTAATTGTTTCACATCTTGTCAACTAGACCATAATGTGTTCCTATTATTAGCTTTCTATGAAAACTACTTTTCGATAAGCCCAGCGATATTTGAATCCAGGGAAAAGAAACCAGAGGTATAACAAATGGTTTTCAAGCTCCAAACATTGCTTTTTCATCCACTGATGCTGAAAACAGGCATAACTGTCCTGTGACAACAGGAATGCTTGATATCAAATGGTAGGATGAATATATTTGTAACAATAAAAAGAAATTCCTTCAAGTATCTTTTCATCCATAAGATTAGCTATTCATGATCTGGGATTTCTTTGAAGAACACAACTGTTACAATTCCAGGTTTTCATGAAATTAAGACTGACTCCTCAGCTGAACATTTCAACAGCAGAATGAAGTGTCTCTGTCTCTTCATTTCTTCTACCAGTAAGATTATTTAAGGATCTAAAGAAATATTTTTGTGGTGCATATTCTCAATGGACTCTTTGATAAATTCAGGAATGAGAATTTTCTATAATAGTATAAGAAAGACGTTATTAATAATCAGAACCACCACCTGGTTGTAAAATGACTTTGCTTAACCACTAACAGGGCTCTACCTATAGGCTGCAGAGCAGGTGTCCTTGTATTCCTGGAGCTTCACACACACCATGTTGAGGAACTGATCAGAATATGCACTCAGATCATGCATCAGGTTCATGAGGTCTTGCACTGTTTTCTCCACAATGATTGTACTCTGTAAACACACAAAAAAGAGAAGACATAGAAGCTCATGAGATTTCTGTACTCAAGTAGTGAGTAGCATGGATGAAAGGGTATCATAATTTGTTATTTTTTTCAGTTTAAAAAATATATATATATATTCAAAGTTTTATTGATAAACAGATAGCAATGAGACA